AGGAGCCCTGAAAAGAGGAGAGGCCAGGTGAGAAACAGGAGCAGCTTCCTTAGGGAGGGGATGTACAGGGCTTGCCATTGAGAGTGCAACCCCTGGAAGCTCACTATGTGTCAACACCCTGCCACTTTCTGATTGCTATCTGTGCACTTCTAAATGCCACACATATTTACAGAGCTCTTTCCAGTTTTAAAAGGGTTCTCACACCTGAGAACCCTGATCCTGATCAGGTTTCACCTGATCCTCATGAATACCTGGCCAGGAGTGAAGGACAGGTTTCATTTTCTTCACTTTATGAAGAGGAAATTGAATCTCTGGAATCCACAGAAACCAGAGGAGCTGGGATCTGAGCCCACAAATAAATACTGATTGATGGAACAAATACAGAAATTCTCCTAATCTTACATATGCGTCTTAAGGACTAAATTGTGTCCTCCCTCAAAATTCATGTGTATTAATAGCAAGTCAGAATGTTACTGTATTTGGAGTTAGGTAGGGCCTTTGAAGAGGTAATTAAGTTAAATGAGATCATTAGAATGGGTCCTTATCCAATCTGACTGGTGTCCTTACAGGAAGAGGAGATTAGTGTTAGGCTTAAAGAATTCACCCTCTCCAAACTTCCATGCAAACCTCCTATAAACCCCACCACTCTCCCCTTCCTAGGTGTATGAGGCACATAGCCTTTGCCAGACCCTTAAGGAGATAAAGGAATGGAATGCAAGAGGGAACTTACTTTCCTATCCCTTCTGGTTGTTTGAAAAGAATTTATTACAGCAGCTGTTCTGGCCCAGTTACTCTACTCTTCAGAAAAACCCTCTATAAAACCCAAGGCTCCCCCTCCCTCAGCATGGGCGCTCTTTTCAGCCTCCACCCATCTGCACCTAGATGCTCAAACAGCACTTTGCTACACACGAGTCTTTGTGTGCCTCCCTCTCAGCTCTGGAGCTAACAATTAGGACACAGACACACAGAAGAGAGACTATATGAAGGCACAGGGAGGAGACGGCCACCTGCAAACCAAGGAAAAAGGCCTCAGAGGAAACCAATCCTGTTGAAACCTTGATCTTTGACCTCTAGCCTCCAGAAATGTGAGAAAATTTCTGTTGTTTAAAAAAATTAAAAAACTAAAAAGAAATATATGAGTGTTTTAAGGTAAACAGGGTGTCTGCCCTTAAGAAACTCATAATCTAGTTGGGGAGAAATGTTCAAAATAAAAATAATTAAAATAATAATACAAGGATTAAATAAGGTAAGACCAGACATAAGGCAGTAGGTACATCCTTCATTGTCTAATGAGGCAAGACAGTGCTATGATTTTCAAGTGTACTTAAATCCCATTATTGAAACGAACTGAAATTCCCAAGTGTCCTCTGCTGCCTCCTTCATTTCAAGTCCCTGTTAATATTCTGGGCTTTGCTTGGATTCCTTATGGCATATGTAAAAAGTCTTCAGCTTTACACCTTTGCTATGGCGATGTCTGGGATTGCCATGTCCCCTTCAGTGTTGTAATTGCAGTGCAGCTCTGGATCAAAACAAAAAAAAATTTTCTGAAATCTTAAAAAGTCACAGGAACGTGAAAAAGGGGACGGGGGAAATTGGTCTTCAGTGTTCCAGAAAAGTCCACCCTCACCTCCTGGGAGTGGATTTTAGAAAATGGTGCAATGACTAATGAATCACACATGAAGAGAGATGTAAAAGAAAAGGGGTTCAGGAAAGAACACCAACCAGGCCAAAGGAGAGGGCGAGCAAGAAGAGTCATGAAATAATTCACAGTTGAACTATGCAGGGTTTGTGGATTGACTGGATGTACGAACTTTGAGGAAGACCTCTGGGTTTCTGACACAGCAAATGATAGAGCCATTTCCTGAGAATGAGAGTGCTGGGAGAATGCCAGGAGAAGAGCTTGGAGGAACACCATGAGGTAAGTTCTGGACACCTGAATTGAAGGTATCTGGGAGGGGACCAAGCTGAAAAGCCAAGCAGGCAGTTAGATATATGGGCCTGGAGGACAGAGAAGAGGCTTGAGGATGTGTATTTGGGCATTGCTATGGTTTGAATGTCCCCTTCAAAACCCATGTTAAAACTTAATCCCCAGTGTGGCAGCATTGAGAGGTGGGGCCTTGAAGAGGTGATGGGTCATAAGGGCTCTGTCCTTGTGAATGGATTAATGGCCAAGAAAACATTGAAAACCAAGGTTAATGGGGGTAGACTCTTACCGCCATTTATTAAATCTTACTACCAGCTGTACTGACTGGAACAAGTACCAGAACAGATAACTCAACAAACCAGGATGGTAAGCCCCAATACACATAGGCTTGCTGGGGATGGGGGATGCTCCTTGGTCTCTGGGTACCTTCTGTCTAGCTGAATAGAATGTGTTGAAAATCTAACTCTCTCATAATTAGGTTCAGCTATTAGGTGCCCTTGAGGTAATTTGGAAGGCAGAAAAGAGGTGAATGCACTTGCTTGCTGCTTCTAATGGAGACTTGACACTTCCATGGTAAGGAATCACCTGGTATTAACAGCCCTGTGGCCATATTCTCCAGGTGTTCAGTCCCTCTAGGCTACCCCACCCCAGTCCAGGAGACTGCCTACGGACACTGCCTGCTGGTCCTCCAGATGGAGTAACTGAACCAAAAATCTCTAGCTTACTCCTAAGTATTTATTCTGAAGGCAGAATATGCACAGGAGACCAGACTTCTGGCCCAGCTAGCACTCCTGCAATGTCAAAAGAGCACCTAAACAGACTTAAAAGCTGGGAAAGCTTTAAGCTGGGAAAATGGCTGTACCATAGGTAATAAAGGGCTGATAGTCTATAAAGAGTTCTTACAAATGAGTAAGGCAAAGATGAATCCAAATGGGCAAAAGATGTGAGTAGGCAATTTGCAAAAGTGATGCATAAGAACAGATTCGACTTTACTAGTAATTAAAAGTAAATAACTTAAAACAATGCAAAAACATTGTTCTAACAGATCAGCAAAGGTGACCAAAAATGATAAGACAGTGCTTGGCAGGGTGTGGATAAAAGCTGGTGTCAGTGCAGTGCCACCTTTCTGTAGGTCTTTTGACAACATGCATTGAAAGCCTTCAACAATGAGCACAAATTTTGACACCAGTTCCAGGAGTTTATCCTGAAAAAATAATTAAGGATGTGTACAGAGATTTAGTGACAAGTAACTTTGCAAAAGTGTAAAGTGGTAAACAATCCAAATGTAAAAAGCCAGGGGAGAGAATTACGGTACATAACTGGCTAAGCAGGCCAGTTGGTGTTGGGCTCTGTAGGCTGTTGCAGGGACTTTGGCTTTTTATTTCAGTTGCACCGGGGAGCCGCTGTGCAGTTTTGAGCAGAGAAATGCCAGGATCCCTCTGGCTGCTGTGTGGAACCAGGGCAGAGACTCTGGTTGAGGTGTGAGGGATGAGGCTGCTGTGGAGAGGCTGAGGTGTTGGATGAATTGCAGACATAGTTTGAAGGTAGAGTTAGTTAACAAGATTTCCACTTAAATTGGGTAGAAGTTGTGAGGGAGAACATGAAGATGGCTCTTCCCAGTTTTGGTCTGAGTAGATGGAATTGCCAGTAATTCTGGTGGGAAAGACCGCTGGGTGAAGTAGGTTTAGGGCTGCAGGAAGAAAAGGAACTTATTTGTGGACCTGTTTTTATATTTGAGTGGAGGAGCAATATAATTTTTTAAAGACAGTTTCCAATGTTACGACAACTTTCTAAATAAAATAGTCATTTCAAGACTCCTGATCCAGCAACTATTACATTCTCAGTACTGAAAATTTTCAAGTTAGTCACTATTCGTGATATGGAGAAATTACATGGATAGAAGATATGCCAAAAGACCAAAGACTAAGTTCCAGTTACAAAAAGTGAGTAAAAACAAACACTACAAATCCATCCACAGTTCTGGCCAGATTCTAGAACATGCCGTTAAACAGATGGCACGTGAAGTCAAGAAAAAAAGCAACAGGGCATTTTTGGAACTTGGAGGTTCAATGTTTGAAGGAGCGGAACGTTCCTTTTGAAGAGGCCATGGCACTCGATGAACCGTGAGGTGTTACAGGCGTGGAACCGACTGGAAGGGTCGCGGCCAGCCTCTCCAACTCTCCAGTCTGTAACCTGGGGCAAAGCTGTCTGTCGCTCCGCCGACAGTAACCGTGGTCTCGACCCGTTGATGTCGCGTTAATACTTGTGAAGACCTCAGCACAATGAATGTACAACCGAGGGCTACGGGGGGAGGGGACCCCCGCCCTTTTCTTTCCTTTTTTAGACCCGACGAAGGTCCTGCCTCTTTAAGACAGGCAGCGAGCAAAAGCGATGAACAACATAAAACAGCCTTCTTCTGGTATTGCTACAGAGCTCTCTGCAGAGGAACAGGTAAACACAGACCTCGGTGCTTTCTGAATCGTTTCTCCCCAGGAGTACCGGCATCCGGAACCGGAGCTGCACGGGCTTTTCCACAAGCCTTGACAAGCGGGCCGTTGCTAGGCGACCCGCGCAGGCTCCGCCCCCACTTCCGCGCTCCTCGCCCCGCCTCCTCCCGCGCAAGTCCCACCCGGTTAGGCGTAACCCGTGTTGACGCTCGCGACCGGCTGAGGCCCCACGACGCATGCCTGCTTCTTCCCGCGCGGCTCGACGTGACGCGCGCTCCCGCTCTCGGCCACAGTCTGCCCCGCCCCTTCCTGTCTGGTCGCTGCGCCCCAGCTCCGTTCTCACTCAGATCTGATTCTGCCCACACCTGGTCTTCAGTCCCGTGAACAGTGACTGTAGAACAGCCTCGAGCCCTGCACACCCAGCTCCCTTGCTCCCGTGGTGGCGGTGGTGATGGGCAGGGGGGTGTGGGGTAGAAATATAGGCGGGATGCGGGGAGGTGGCAGTTGCTGTGCGCCCATTTCCGGAGGCCGGGCGGAAGTGGCTGCGGTGGATGGTGGGAGGGGGAAAGGAGTGCGAGGGGAGGGCCGGGCCGCCGGGGGTCGAGGGGGTGGGGCCTGGGCCGGCGATTGGGACCCGGCCTGAGGCCTGGATTGAGACCTGGGGTGGACAGCGGCTCCCAGCAGAAACGGGGCGGGCGCGAACAGGTAACGACCGAGCTTGGTTAGGGCCAGGGTTGTCCGCAGGGTAGAGCAGTAGAGGTCGGAGTGTAAGGAGGGTCGCCGTTTCACCCCCTTCTTCTGTGAACACCGAGCAAGGGGTTCGGAGGAAACGGGTGGGAGGAGTTAAATTATTGAAGGGGAAGGGGGAGGTCAAGTGGACACCACGCCCCTACAGGAAGGAAGGAATGGGTGTGTGTGTACGTGTTTAGGGATAATTCTTGGAGGGGGAGGGAGTGACAGGCGTGGGCTCCCACACTGAGAAATTGCAACACTGTGGGGCTACTGCTAGCAGGCATTGGGCCTCAGACGTTCTAAGAGAGAGCTCTCGGGAGTGGCCCCTGGAAGGAGGGCATTACATCCCTGGCACAGTTTTAGAAACAGAGGGAGGTGAGGGTTGAAGGAAAGAAAGAATGCGTGTGGAAGGTGCCAGCATCTCTGCCTGGAAAGGATTTAGTTCAGTCTAAGAGAGTTGTAGGATTAAAACACTGAGCACCCTAAGAAGCTTGCGAGATTCCATTAGTATGTGGTGCTTTAGACAAGAGAAGGGCAGGAGGAGGACAGTCTTTTCTGTATTTCTTAGAAGACAGTCTCCTGGTTACTTTTCTGTAGGGAGAGTAGATACGAGCCTTCTTTTATACTGAATCTCATATATCACACACACACACTCTTGATGAGGTGACTGTTGTTGGGGTGCAATATGTAAGTGAGGTAGGTACTTTATATAACCTTGTGGAGTGTTTAACAAAGGGTTTTTGATGCTAGAGCATGGTAAAGCTCTCTAATTTAGGTAGGAAATGGGAGCTAGAAAGTCTTAGAATCCATTTGGGTATATACTTGATTAGAGCGTATATACTAGAACATTAAACATAATGTTTAAATGTTCCGCAGGTTAACACAGAAATCAGCCTCCTGGGCCATGCCGTTTCTAAGACCTGTTTCTTATTATGAGTCTCCGCAGAAGAGAAATGGGCCAGTCCTCACAATGGATGATATCCTCTGCCTGAACAAAAGATGGGATAGTATCTGGGATCTGTCCATCATCAGACTCTGAGCTTAATAAGGCAGCTGAATGAAGGGATGTAACAGACTCCAGAGAGGGACACTGAAGCCTCCAGTGGGGGGGGAGGGGCCTGGACACACCCCTTCCCCCCCAGACTCCTCCCCTTCAGGGTCCACTCAGCCATGGACTTTGGACCGGGATAAGAGGAGAGAAGCTGCAGTTTGTTTGGTGGATCTGTTTTGGGATTCTTAGTTGTGGCAATGTGGAGTGTTGCATGGAGGTTTGATATCTCCAGGGGAGCAGCTGAAAGAGGAGTAAAGGTAAGGTTCCTGTCTCATTTCCCACTTAGTGTCTTGCAGTGTCTGTGCAGAAAGTGTTGAGTAGATCAAGTCTGGGGGCACTACCATTCTGGAAGTCTTACTCTGATGGGTACACAGGAAACTTCACCTCTCCTTCACTCTCTTTGGGTATAGACTTGTTTCCAATCTCTCCTTACCCAGGCTGGAGGAGTACCTTGTAAGCTCTTGTGAGCAATGGCAATTGTGAGGTTAGGCTGGTGAGGTTAGGCCAAGGAGAACATGAAAAAAATTCAGGCTTCTGAAGGGAGGTTGGATTAAATTACCTTTAAGGGCCTTTCCAACACTGAGATAAAAGGATTCCAAATCAGTTTAGGTTAATACTCTGGAATGTATTACCTAGGCAAAGGCAGACTGCTCTGTTTTGGGGAGCTAACTGAATAGGACTGCTGAGGGGGAGAGGAAGGGAATGGTCTAGATGTGTGGTCCCCAACCCCCCGGGCTGTAGCCTGGTACTGGTCAGTAGCCTGTCAGGAAACTGCCTGAGCTCTGCACCATGCCCCTCCCAACCACGACACCCCACCCCACCACCCCCGGTCCTGGTACCAAAAAGGTTGGGCACCGCTGGTCTAGACAACCTTCTAAATTGTCTTTATTTTTCCCTCCCCTGTAAGGGAGGTTAGACCATGAAACCTCATGAAAAGAGCAGAGGAACAGAACACAGTTTTGGGAATCAGCAAGACCGAGGTTCTAGTTCTGACTTCCTTAGTCAACGTGCAACCCTACATATGTTGATTAACCTCTGTTGTTTTCACCTACAAAATGGGGATGACTAACTTTCCAGGTCCCTGGCAAGTTGTCATAAGAAGCAAATGAAATAACGGATTTTGGAAAGGATCCAGGGCTGTGTACATATAACAGTAACATTTTTTTTTTTTTTTTTTGAGACAGAGTCTCACTGTTTTGCCCGGGCTAGAGTGAGTGCTGTGGCCTCAGCCTAGCTCACAGCAACCTCAAACTCCTGGGCTCAAGCGATCCTCCTGCCTCAGCCTCCCGAGTAGCTGGGACTACAGGCATGCGCCACCATGCCTGGCTAATTTCTCTATATATTTTTAGTTGTCCAATTAATTTCTTTCTATTTTTAGTAGAGACGGGGTCTCGCTCTTGCTCAGGCTGGTTTCGAACTCCTGAGCTCAAACAATCCGCCGCCTTGACCTCTCAGAGAGCTAGGATTACAGGCGTGAGCCACCGCGCCCGGCCAACAGTAACATTTTTGATATGCCTGTTTAATTGTCACAGAAAATCACTGAATTAGGAGTGCTGTTCTTTTATTGAATTAGTGTGCTGGCAAAAGCTTTATATATCCTTAAGTAAAAGCCTGCCCTCAATTTGTCTCATCCTGTGGCTATTAAACAATACCTGAGATCATCAAGTTGTAGAAAAGGTGAATGGCTCCAAGGAGAAATTAGATTGAGGGATTCTGCCACATATGACCTTGGCCCTCCTGGCTCTTCAGTCCCCTTTCAGTGAGCACCTTTGAGGCAGTAGATTAAGGAGGGGTGGAGGAAAGTTAAAGCCTCAAGGGCCAGGTGTCTGGTTAGGAGTTGGAACTGCAATTTTTTGGAGTAAGTGCTGGGCTTTTCCTTCCTGTGCCATATCCTAGTCTTCTTTCCTGCTCTTTAAGATAAAGGTTTTTTTCACACTGACATCTCTTCTCCCTTTGTATTTTGGCAGGCAGTATTCCTACTTAAATAGACTGTTTGTTGTTATCTTCTCACTTCTACCTGCTTCTTTGAACTCTGGTTTACCTGTGCCAGGATGCCTGCTCTTCCTAGTAACAATAAACAGCAGAAAGGAGAGGTGGAGCATGGTGTTGGGAATTTTGAGAGACAGTAGGATAAGGTGAGCTGGGTGAGGAGCAGGAAACTTGGCTTCTAGCATCTCTACCTCTCGGATAGTTGAGTAACATCTGGGCCTCTCACATTCACTGGGGACTGGCAACAATAACTAAGGTCATTTGCAAACTGAAAATCCTGTATTTATGCCTTACTTTCTTTGTCGAATTTCTTTCTTTCCTGAATTTCTTTCTCTACCCTGCCCCCCACCCCTTCACCTGTGGCCTGAGGGCCTGAGGGCTGAGCAGGCAGGCCTGGGTGGAGTCGGTGGTCCTGAGTTGTTCTTTCTCCTCTCAGGATGGGCTGGTCACCTTGCACAGCATTGCCTAGCAAATTCCTGGTGCCAGTCTTTGCTTAGGCACAAAAATGACAGTGATCCCTCAGGAATGTATGATCCCAGGATGCATCCTCAGCCATCTCTGGGATCCTACCCTGTGTCAGAAGGCTTTCCTCATCCTAGCTGGAAGGCTATCATATCCTGTGAGTGCCTATGAGTGCTTCCAAGCACTGGAAGTACCAAGGAGTTGTGTTGTAGTTGTATATAGTATTTATATCATGTGATGGGTTCTGTCTGTTGTATCAGTTTTCCCGTACCACTTTGTTGTGAGGAAGATAGAATAGGGATTATTTCCTCAATTTGAGGGGAAGCTACAGAAGCCCTGAGTGGGGAGGTCTTGCCTAAGTGTGGAGTGGTAGACACTGATATTGCCTGCCGAGGGCTGGGCTGTTTCTACACTATCTGACCTGACAAGGGCCATCTTGATTCTGCTGTAAACCTCCAGGGAGGGAAACTCTGGGCCCTGTCAGCCTCTTTTCCTTCTAGGAGTGAGCCAGAATTCCTCCCACCTCATTGGTTCTTCCCTCTGCCTGACCCTTCCACAGACTGTCCTCTCAAGACAGCCATTGACTTTCTCACAGGGACACTAGGATGCTAGGCCATGGCACTTGTCAGATGTCAGGACACTTAGTGATAGACTTAACCAAGCAGCATGTGTGTATTATAACTGAATTTATTTTTACCCTTCTTTATTCCAAAAGGAATTGTAGGTGGCTAATCAGAAATTACATTTCACAGACATTGCTTAGTGATTATTGTGGTAATCTTTTCTCCTTTCTTTTTCCTGTATGAGATAAGTTTCTGGATCTCCATGGGAGGCGAGGGCAAGAGATGTTGGGAGTGGCAGATCTGGAAACAAAACACTGATTTAAAATTTTGCTTTTACTTTTACTGGTGGTTTCGAGACAAGATCTGTCTTAAGTTCTAAGCATGAATTCTTTCCAAATCATAAAATATTTCAGGGTATCTTGGGCATAGTTAATGGAGGAGAAATTTCGTGGAACAGTTTTCATTTCCTTTTCCTCTCTTCATTTCTCTTTTGGTGGTGGTGTGGTGGGCAGGAAAGAGTCTTACCCCTACTAATTCTGTTTTATCCTGTGACTGGATCCTCTTCTTTCTTCTGTTTGCACATATTCCAATCCCAGGCTCATTCCCAGAATCCAGACACTTGGCCCCTTGTTTCTGCCCTTCCCCAGTCACCCCTTCCCATGTAACCTCTATCCAAAGCCCAGGGCCTCCTTTCCCAGATCAGTTTGGCACTCATTACTTTGGTTTCTTGTCTCTCGGACTAAATGTTTTTTCTTGCTTCCATGTAAGAATTCAGGTCATCCTGATTCTCTAACCAGGCCCTTTCTTCTTGGGATACTCCACTTGCAGTCTGGGAATTTCTATTCGTAGATCTTCCTGTGAACCTTGGAATTTAAACAAAAGACCGTGGAGATGGGATGTGAGTTATGCTGCACAAACAGTCCCCCATTCTGTTTCCCATTAAATGGGCTTACATGGAGAAGTATCTTGCTTAAAGATGGGAATCTGACATGTCATGGGCTGGTCCATCTTCCCCTACCTTTCAGCACCCCGTTATGTCTGCCCTTTCTCCTGGAAGGTGATTTTAGTTCTCTATGTGTTCTATCTACAAACCAGTGTTTCGATTTTTTACACTTTTAGGAAACCTTGTTTTCCTTCATGCCTTGACACTTGAGTTTGAGTTTGCAAGGCCCCGGGCTCCCCAACTCCCTTCATTAGGAAAATGTAGAGAGAAAACAGAGGTGAGAGACAATTGCCTCTGACTGGCAGATAAGCATGAGCTCGATTTTCCTGCCACAGTCCACAAAGTCAGCTGAACCGGACTCATTGGGCACATACCCTCATCCCCCCAACGCACAGTCCAGCTTCACTGGTGTGTCAGCTTTTCTCTCACTCTTCTCCCTCAGGGCGGCACTCCAGCTTCTTCTACCAAGACTTCCCTGCTGCCCCACTGTGCCCCTTTTGTATTGGGCACATAGCCCTCAAAGAAAGCACTGTCACTTGAGAATGCGGGGAGTGGGGGAAGGGAAGGAGTGCCAGGCTTGGAGGCCATGTCTAAAACCTAGCCCCCCACTAGGTCCTGTGACCTCCAGCAAGTTGGCATTTACCCTGAGTCTCAAACTCCTCATCTGTAGAATGGGGATGATTCACACCCTGCAGAGTTGCTAGGAAGGGAGGGGTCTGACATGTGGAGGCCTCTCTCCATGCCTGGTGACCCCTTAGCAATTTTGGTTTAGCTCCTCACCACCGTGCAGGAGCCTGTAGTGCATGCCCTGCCTTTTGTTTCTCTAGGACCCTGCACACTTCCTGGTTTCATGTAGAAACAAAGTTAGTGAGCAAAGTCAGTCAGCCACACACTGCAGAGTTCAGGGCTGCTCTGTGCTCTGGAGCATGAGGGAGGGGTTGATGTCAGTAGCCTGTGTCATGTGGCAGCAGCCCTCAGGAAAGTCACACCTCCGGAGCAGCCAGTAGTTCTCAGCCCCCCACCCTCTTTTTCCAGGGTCAGATAGTGTGAGGGATGGCGTGGTGGGCAGCTGAGGCTTCAGCAGCAGGTCAGGCAGGGGAGATGCTGGAGAAATGGCTTCTCCCCTGGCCCCTGGCTTGCACGGAGGCCTGTCGGGAACCCAGGGCTCAGGCCTCAGTCCTGGGTGCCTGGGGAAACTTGCCCCCTGCTCTGGGGCTGGTGCCCACCCCACAGTCAGGCCCTGCAGTCCCTGGTCTTCTGCGCCTCTCCTCCTCTTCCCTTGGACTTTGGTCAAAGATCA